AAGGAGTCATGTTGAGAAATGTGTGAGTGTCTGTTTATCGTGTGGGTCAAATCTTGTTTGGTTTGCTTTGTTGTGCAATTTAAAGAGAGGCAGCAAGTGTAAAATCATTGCACATCGGCGCCTGCACACTGCTGCCGACTCGGTCACGGCTTCAGTTTATACTTAATGACACAAGGGGAAGAAGGAGAGCAGAAGGTGAGGAATGAATAATGAGAGATGCCTGTACTCAGCATATTCTCTCGTCATAAAAAAACAAAAAAAAACAAAAAACCCAAAACAGAAAAGGAGGACCGAAGTGGTCAGCAATATGGAAATATTTCATCCTTGTTCCCGGGCGCCTGACAAGGATGTTCTTATGTTCTCTCTGGATAAACCACATGTATTCTCTCTGATATGTGAGCCTGATAGGGGAAGCTGACTGGCCTGTCCGGCTAGCTAACATCCTCCTTTAAAAAACCCAGGGCCTGGCTGAGGGAGCTGAAGTCATAAAGTCTATTTATGGCATGTACAGTGACACTTTTATTCTGCTATGTCTCACCTCTCGCCCCCCTTTGCTACATCCCTCCTTAACACAGTGATACACCCTCTCTCACACTGAGAACATATTTATCATTTGCTCAAAATGGCTGTGGTGTGGCCCTGCTCCTCAGGGCTTTGATTAATATGCACTCTGGCTCGGTTTGCTTAGTCGGCATTATTTCTGTCTGTATGTCTCTCTCCGTCTCCTCCTCCTCCTCCTCCTAGTTCATTTCCTATGCCATCTTGCCTGTCATCTCCTTTCAGCATCTCCCTTTTCTTCATGACTCATATGTTTCTTCCTATTCAGCTTAATGCCACTCTCACTTTATTCTCCGTCTGTCTCTTTCTCCATCCCTTCTCTCTCCTTGTCAGCACGCAGGGAGGGACCCTACATTGTGATCACCTTCGGGTGGCCCCCTGCTTCCTCTCGCCTCCTATCGTCTCTTGTTTTCTTCTACAGCTGCTGTTCTTGTCTCTTCTCCTCTTCTTCTCTTCCTCCTGTTCTTCTGGTCTCCTCATTTTGTCTGGTCTCCTCTCCTCTTCCCTCCTCTCCTCTCCTTTCCTTGTACTCTGTTGTAGTCCTTTTTTCCCTCTTCTCCTCATTGTCTCCTCTCCTCTTCTCTTCTCTCCTCGGTACCTCTCCATCGTTCCCCTTCTCCCCCTCTCCTTATCTTATCTTGTCTCCTCTCCTCTCTTATTTCCTCCTCTCCTCTTCTGGTCTCTCTTCTCTTCTCCTTACTTCTTCTTCTCCTCCTCTTCTCTCCTCTCTCCTCGGTACCTCTCCGTCTTTCCCATTCTCCACTTCTTGTCTCATCTTCACTCTCCTCCTCTCTCATCTCTTCTCCTCTCCTTACTGCTTCGTTTCTGCTCGTTTCCTCTCCTCTGCTTGTTTCCTCTCCTCTCCTTATTTCCTCGCCTCATCTCCTCACCTCGGATCCTCTCCTCTCCTCTCCAATTCAATTTCCCAAACACTCTCTTAACAAGTTATAAAGACTAAATTCAATTCAATCAGCTGTCGCGGGCATTAGGATAAGCTGTGTTGATCTGGTTTGGGATTTGTCTTTTTTCCTCCCTCTCTTACCTCACCCACTTTTAGGTGACACTGCAGTGGGCCGACAGCTGCTGTGCGGGTGGATTATTACACCCAGATCAAATCTAGCTCTGCTTGTTGTAACACCTGTGTAACACTGACGCCTATATGCTTGCGCTCTACGAAAAAACGAATATACCACTTACATTTTTTCTGTCACTTTCAGTATCACATGGTCATTATCAGCAGATGGAGTTTGCTCATCCCCTGTCAACAGATCTATCTCCATGGCAACTGAGCGAACTTCATCCAATGCTGAAGAAAATGTGGCTGAAAGCTCTGGATAAAAGTTAGTTTGGGGGACCTTGAGTTAAGATAATCATATCCAACCATATGGGGGGGGGGGGCTGAAAATCTAAATTCAAGGTCTGCTTACTGGCTTCTTGTAGAGCTGTCAACCATATCACATAGTCTTCATCAGCAGAGGAAGTTTGCTCCATGTGGATTTAGAAGTTAGGCGTGAAAGTTCATTCTAGACACTGTTCATAGTATCGATGTCAAAGGCATCTCCACGACGAATGGGAAAACTCCATCCACTGATAAAGAGCGTGCATTTGAAAGCTCAGGAAAACATCAGCAGAGGTCCTTGAGTTGAGATCGTCATATCTAGTCATCCAGAGAAACTCTTCAAACTTTACAAACCATGTCTTTTTTTCCCCACAACGAAAACATTAACACTTCAGTTTGATTGTTTAGATATGGGGGACATGACATCACATTGACATGCGTTTTATAAGAGAGTGCAGAGGGCAACCTCACAACTGATTAGACATGTTTTAAACAACCTCATTACCTGGGAAAAAAAATAAAGGTGAATATAGCTGAACTATTCTCGCTGATCGTTAATTGTACTCAACAGCAACGTGTATAAAGCGCAGTAGGTACAACAGGTCAAAGCTGATGCAAAATGCAGCACACATTTACATCCGACAGTAATTATTTCAGTGTCTGTCTCAATGAAAGCTTCTTTTCCCATTTCGCATTTGCAACCAGAAAATGAAAATAAAAAGTATTATTATATAGTATATTAAGAATTAAAGGTGACAGTTAATGCTGGGGGAGGGAGTAATGGATTGGCGTCAATCTGCAAAAATTCCATAATCATCTATCAGCGTATTGTAATTGAAGCGGTCTGAGAGCAAACTAGATGTCTGCAGATCCTCTTGACTCAGTTTTCAGGCTGTAGAAAATCGAGCCCATCTGGCTGCTAACTTCATTTTCCTGTAATGTAATATGGAAATGTATTGCAGTAGTTGTTTGTGTAGGTAGATTTGTATATATAGTTTAGCCGTCTGCTAACATTAGCCAAAGGCTCACAGCAGTGGTTGTGTTGCTTGTGTTGCTATGCATGTGTATGAAGCGTGTGCATATGTCTGTGGGGGCAGAGCTGCAGGAGGGCGGCTGTATTTTCAAGTTCTGGTGGGTCCCCCCCCCCCCTTTCTTTTCTAGATTTCTGCCGAACATGGCTTTTAATCGAAAAACCATTTTGTCCCCTCAGTAGTTCTGGCCTGTTCAGTTTATATCACACGGGTAGTAGCCACTTGTTTTCCCTGATATTATTCATTATTGAAGTTTTTAAAGAGCTTATCTCACTTAATTTGCTGTATTTATGAGCTATGTTTTTATCTTCTAGCAAGTAGATTATTTGAATTTTTTTATCAGTACTTCAGGGTATTAACAGTGCTTGGAATTATTTTTCTAAACGAAGAAAAAACTTCTTCTTCTACAGAAGTTTTTCTGAAATACACACAAAATTCATCAACCAGTAACCTCATCCCGCTGCTAGCACTTTGCAATCATTTGAAGTTCATACAGCGTTAGTTTTATTGCGTTATTATGAATACCAACGGTGAGATTTAAAAGCCCTCTCTGCACACAGCTGCTCATGAACTCTCAGACTGGCTCCGAGCAGAGCAGGAATAAAGCAAAACCTCAAGTATAGTTAAAAAAAAAAAAAAGCTATTTGAGCTGACAATGAAGCCCATTTGTTGCTGAGTGATCTGTATCTGTCAGCTTTCCTTATCATAGCTTTGCTTATTTGACCAGAGACAAACAGGCGCTTTTAGCTGAGATACTGAGCCTTGTCAACAACACATTTAGTCACCTGTCCTTATCCAGGAGAGTCACATTGAGATAGAAAACGTTTTCCCATTTGAGCTGCAGCCAAGAGATTTGAGCTTACACAACTCAGCTAGTGGCAACGTTAACCCCATCCTGCCATCACCGTCTGTCTGGCTCCGTCTTTTCATTTATAACTGTTAACGAGACAGATTTTCAAAAGGATGTTAATTTTACAAACAATACAATATGATGAAGGCTAATTAGTTTAACTAAATAAAAGATTTTTAAATGTGATGTTGAAAAGCAAATGAAAACTGGTATGAAAAAATTCAGATTTTAAAATGGCAGCACAAATACTTGGTAATATCTCTGTTGAAAAGTACTAATTTTAACCATTCCTTGCTTTGTGACTTCATTTGCAATAGTAGTTTGACAAAACAATCCCATCTCAAGGTCCATTTACTGTACATACTTTTCCCCGAACTTTCAACTGTATCATATGGTCCTCATCAGTTCCGTCGTGAGACATGAAAGCTCTGGAAAAAGCTAGTGGGAGGACCTTGACTTATATGGTCGTATCAAACCACAGAGATACTTTTTGTCCTGTAAATTTTTCAGTGAAATGACTGATTCGATAAAACAAATACTTCCCAAAATAAAAAAATCAAAACTCAAGATCCACTTACTAGCTTTTTCAAGAGCTTTCATATGTCGTATGCCATATGCCAACTAATCCATCTCCATGACAACTGAGCAAACTGCATCCACTGATAAATAATGTGTGGTTGAAAGGAAGAAAAACACCGAGTATGTAAGCAAATTATGGTAATTTTTTAGCTTGGAAGCATAAAGGCCTATTGTGTAGTAGTATCCACTGTAATACATCAGCGTTATAGAACAGGACTGTGCATATTTCTCTTTCACTGTCCTTGTTATCAGGCAAGATTTAGGAAGCGCACTAAACAGAGAGGAGAGTCACATCCCTCCAAAGTGAGAGGCTGCAGATCGACTCTATTTGTCTCAATTTGGTGCGTAAGAAGTAACAAACTAACACTTAAGAGTCTAACTGAGTCTTCAAAATAGCCGCAAGTGAGCTGTTGATGCAGAGATATTAACTTGTGGTGATGCACATCACATACCAGCTGGGTCGTTACCATGCTGCGGATGGTTTACTGGCTTCAGGATCTAATGTCCTTACATTTCAAATTGCTGCCTCTAATTGCCATTTGCAGCTGCCAGTTTGTGAATCCTCAATTATTTAAAATGAGCACAATCCAGACACGTTTCTAAAATCTATCTTCTCTCTCTCTCTCTCTCTCTCTCTCACCAGAGGCCCAATCCAGCGCCATGATGTTTGACTGTCTCTACCTGGAGCTCTCAGCCTCCCTGGACCACGGCACCAACGAGCTGCTGGAGGCGGCGGTTCGGACTGCAAGGGGCGACTGTGTGGGTCCCGGCTGGACCGACGGGGACCCCGGGTCAGGTCGCAGGGAGAGCCTAACCAGCCGGGCCAAACGCTTCTTGGCGGGGCTGGTACCGCGGTCGTACGGCCGAGACCGGGACCGGGATAGGGGACGCTACCGGGAGATGAGCCGTCACCGGGGTAGCAAGATCCTCCGCCAGAAGTCTCGCTCCTGCCACGACCTCAGTGCACTGTGACACACACATGCGTACACGCAAGCAAAGAGACACACTCCCACACATGTACAAACACACTGGATGGAAAGATATGAAGGAGGGGTGAAAGATGGAGGAGGCGAAGAGGTCAAATGGAAGATAGTAGGGAGGAGCAGATGATTACATGGAGGGTCTAGGAGGTGAGTGAGAAAATTAGAGGGATAAAAGGATACAAATTTAGCAATGGCAGATAAAGGTCAAGGGTGGAGAAAGGGGGTGGGGGGGGGTCACAAGTAAACACATAATCAAGTAGCACGCACTGATTATATAGAGACTGATAGCAATCTAATGTAAACCTATTGTAGACCTTGTTTTATAGCATGCCGAGTAGACGATATAAGACATGACCCTGTAGGTTTTACAATTACATGATACTGGATTTACCGTACCTCAGTGGCCAATAGCTAATGCACAATCTAGCTAGTGTCTCTAGCAATGCCATCAAAGGCATGACCCTTTATTTACTAGCCACAACCTTCAAACTGCATCCACCTTTTGTTTCCCGTACTGATTTAAAGAAGTGTTTGATACCACCAATGGCATATATTCATCTGTGACTTTTATACAAAGCTAAAGACATCAGCGCCCAAGCCATATTTCCGCTGAATGCATCACCAGTGATCAGCACAAAGAACCCTTTACCGTAGGATGTGGAGCGAAAGAAAAAAGGTCAAAACTCCTATAAAGAATGAGACGTTAACAAGGATGACCGGACTGAACTTTTCTCCAGTTGAAGCTGAGTCACAGAACACTGGGGTGTTCTTGAAGCACAGGAGGACAAACGAGAGAAAACCTAAAATCTACCTGTGGCTGTTTGATGTTTTCATTTTTCTCTTTTTACCCTCTGGCATTAACCATGTGTGTGGAGACTGAATTCTGTGGGGGCTGGCCACACAGGTGACCCAAAAGAGAACGTTCTGGAAACGTTGCTTGGATATCTCGTCAAGCGTGGCGGCGTCACTTACACATGCTCACTCGTTTGTCACCGTCTACTAAACACTGTCATCTTTCCACTGAGAATAAAATTTTTGTTTGACATCCTGAATGAGTGTCTTGTCCTATTTTTTTTTTTCTTTTTTCTCACCAACATTATAAAATGAATGTCTCATTACAGTCTTCACGAGGTTGAGGGATGCCGTGACAGGTCATCAGATGAGCCTCTAGACAGACTGCGAGCCATCCTCTCAGGACAGTTGTTCTATTTAGGACTACGCAGTAAAATCATGCGACGTCAACACTTTGTGGCTGTAACAAAATCTCAGGTCAAAAATAGACTGCATCAGGGAAGAATATGAACCAAGACCAAGCAATATGAACTTCAAGATCAGAGCACATGCTTTTTGAGAGATGCATCAAGTTAGCTTTTTAATGATGACAATATAAAAACCAAAATGCTTTAGTCCTCTAATGGCTGTGGTTCTCAACCTTTTTTTATCTTATACTGAAAAACTTAATCAACACCACCTGGCTTGTTCCAAATATGTTCATTTAAACTGATTTTAAACTGGATGGTGTTTAACACTGTTAATTGTAATTAAAAAAATAGTACATTTGAACTGTCAGTATTTAGGATGGTTTGCTCAAGTTCGTAGTTCCACTTGGAGTAGTAGAAGCTACATCGTACGGACGACTTTTAACTTCCTATTACAACTGTTTATCCACCACATTTAGCTAACTGTTTCAACCTTTGGTCAGTCACTTTGAGCTAACAGTTTGAATTGTTCATCAATTAACTTTTAGCTAACTGCATTAACTGTTTATGTTTTGCTAACCATTTCAGCCTTTTCGTCCATTACTTTTAGCTAACTGCATCAACGTTTAGCTAACAATTTCATCCTTTTATCTGTGACTTTGCGCTATTTCAATTGTTTGTCTACTTTAAGCTAACTACTTCAACTTTTTATTATTATATTTTAACTTCTCTGCTCATTTGCTAAATAGTTTTTATGCACTCTGTCACAACACATAGTTCAGTGTTAAAGCTGACTCAATATGTGAATGTATTTTTAAATGAAATTGTAATTTCACCTATTTTCAAAGTAGTTGAGCTACACCACAACTTGTCCTCATACCGTCTGATAAATGCAGAAGTATCCCCTAAGTGGTACAAGTACATACTGGTTGGGAGCCACGGCACTACGCTAAGACTTTAAAGAGTTGGCTCATCTAAATTACATATTTTATAACTGTAATGGTATCTAACCATTCATATTGTTTGGCCAGGATTTGAGATTTCTGCTATCATCCCAATACAATGGACATTTCATTTCTGGCGCCCACACCATTGAAAAATAGAAAAACCACATCTCTTTCCAGAGTTGGTGTGCTTGTTACTTTGGATCAGTGGTTCCCACAGTGGCTGGCCAGGAGGGAAAACTAAAGTTGAATGGACCTTTTTCACAGCAGACATTGTGACTCGTCTAACACGGATGTGACTAATATCATTATTAATTGGTGTTTTGTATTTGCAGTAATTCCTGGAACTGAGACATGTTAATGTTTTTAGTTCCTCTTGTGCTTTTCCTGGTGTGACAAGTCAAAAGGTTGCTCTGATGCTGGCAGGCTCTTAAGATTATCTTGCTGTTGAGTTTCAAGTTCACTGTCAAAATAGCAGGAGTCCTTTACTGTGTTTTCTGTCTGTAAAAACTAAAATACAATTCAACTTGGGCCCTTTTGTCACTAGTTTCCCCCAAATTGTTCCCCGGTTCAGGATGTTATGAATTTATACATCAGGGAGAGTGAATTGGTGGCCTCCCTAAAGGGGGGCATAATAGAAAGAGTTTAAGAACCACTTTTTTTCTAAGTAATCCACCTAGCACGCTGTGAACAGTTTTCATACTCATACACACGTCTTCAGTGGAAAGTATTTCCAGGGTAAATTGTTCATAGCGTGCTCTATGTATTTACAGTAAAGGACATTGTCACTGAAAAGTGACGCCTCCTTTGAGTCTTTTAAAGGTAAAAAAAAGGCCAATTCCAACCACAGATGTAATTATACTTACCTCCAGTGTATTGGGATAGATATGTCAAAAAATGGTATCTTCAAACCAACTGGCTAAATACTACTAGATGTGAGAAAATGTTTCTTTGTAATTTAAGAGCTCTTGCCTTACAACATAATCAATCAAGCAACTGTATGCAAATAGGACATTAACTACAGATGAAAAATCCAGAGGCCAAAAATAAAGTTACACAGATAATTTATGAATTGACAGTCCATAAAACACTTTTGGATAAAGTAGATTCAGAAAAATAAAAGCCAGTCTTTTTTTGACCTATTGTCTACTTTTAACAACATGGTCAACACAGTGTATAATATCTTAACATTGAGTACCACAGCTAATGATCTACTAGGGATTGGGATTTGATTTCTAATCACTAAGCAGGTAATTTGACGCACCACAAAAGCATTTTAGTTCGTTCGCTTTCTTCAAAAAAATAATTGCACAGAAACTATGAAAACATCTCTGTCAGCCTCCCCTCTGTCTGCTCCACCCTAGTCTTGGGCAGGTGTAGTGAAGCACCTCGGGCTAAGAAGCGGGAACACTGTACCCTACAGTCAATCACATGAGATCACATCAGATGGCTGCAATTTTCAGGGTTCTGATGCTGGTACAGTAACTGTTTGGAGTGGATAGGATGGGAGGACTCTTGAGAGGACGGCAAACTGGCAAAGAGACAGAGGGGTTGAAGAGGGAGAGAGAGAGAGAGGGAGTCAGAGAGAGATGGGGCTGGAGAAATGCTTTGAGGAGTAATGGTTGCTTGGAGACGGTTGTCAAGGAGACGATGAGTCCTAGAGTCCTTTGGCATCTCATATGTCCTATATTTATGTTGATTTGCAGAAAGAGGAGGTTTTTTGTTTGTGTTTACTTTTTTTTTTTACGCCAGTAGGTGAATAAGAGACAGATTGTTATAAGCACAGAGATAAGCTGAACTCCTCCAATTGAGGCAGGCTGGATTTTATACAATATGACTCGCAGAATTGAAACTGACACAAAAAGGATTTTATCACACTTAAACAGGTCAGATAGCTGTCAGATAATAGCATACATATGACAGCCACACAGAAGCCCGCAGGAAATAGAAAGGGAAATGAGGACAATATGATACAATTTCTTTTCGTGACACCCTATCAGTCTCACGAATCGTGACAGAAATCCTCCCTCTCTTCGTCTTTCTGTCGCTGACTCACTCTGTGGGCATTTCCTGTGATTTTCGGGCAAAAGAATACTTCTCAAGAGTAGGGAAGACAGAGGCAGCCTGAAAGACGAAAAAACCACCTACTGTGCGTCAGTGAAAGCCTGTCGAACTTACTCCTCACTTTGTATCAAAGAAAGACTATTTTCAGTGAGCGCTGTGCATATCTAATGAGATGCATATTTTCCTGAGGTGTGGGTGTAGGCATGTTAGCTGGGAGGTAATATTGGAAATGGTCTGTGAAGTGTAACTGGGGATAGACTAGTGCATGTGGAGGCTGCAGTGATGGCCGTACACTAGTGCGGACAGACATTGAGTGGCACTGAAGGGAGCGTTGCTGAATCCCTGGGGAATCCATGTGATTTGTTTTCAAGCAGCAATGGCTCTGTACACCAAAGGTCATTGTTCCTCTGCTTTGTCTCCCGAGCGCACAGAGCCGATTATACATGCACAGAGCTATAATAACAAAACAACAAAAGGGAGCGAGAATGAACCAGACCAGTCTCGCTTGAACGTCACGCTCAGAATGAAGCACATGTAATTAGTACTGGTTTGTCAAAGCAGGAGCAACCATCAGGCCAAGTGACTGTAATAGTGGGCTGAAGAGGAGGGCACAAATCAGCCTCATTATGGGCTTAATGCCTCATGCAATGCTCCCCACATTTCCAGTAATGTGGATTAATAGCAGGTCAAAAGGTGACAGCAAAGCCATATGTTCTGCAAATTATTGCAAGACTACAACTAGATGCCGTCATGAGATTAGTATTGATCTCAACGTTGTAATGGGGAATATCTTGGATAATGATTGAACATGACTGAACTAGCTAAAAACTCATAAAACCACATTCTTCAGAAGAACTATGTGACATTTTGGTAAAATCATTTTCTTTCTTTGCAGAGAGTCGGATGAGTGGATCGATATGCTCTCACTTCTGTCTGGTAAATATGAAGCTGGAACCAGGAGATGCTAGCTTAGCTTAGCTTAGCACAAAGACTGAAAGCAGAGGGACATAGTTCCAAAATGAACATGCTATATGTTGTCTGTTGTCTTGTCTGTTCAGAAAGTTGTTTAAAAGTGACAAGTTGTAGTTTTACAGTAATTTTTCTTTCGTGAAACTATTTCTGAGCTGAGAGCAGTGATTAGCTGGACCTTGTCCATAGTCACTCCCTTTACTGTATAGTGCACTACATTTAAAATACAAATCCTGAAATTTGTGCAATGGAAAAAAAGCAGCATTGATGCAATGTACATGCAATGCATTGTATATATACAACTATTACAGTCTGCAAATCTGTCAGAGATGAAACAAAATGATAGTGATTCAAACTCATGTCCAAAATCTCAATTTACTACTCACTATAGTGGAAATTATTGGATGTCTGTGGCACAAAATAGGATGTCGAGATACTAGAGAATAGGTGAATAAGGGTGTGTTTTCAGACAGAGACCTAGAAATGTCACCGTGAGGTTGCCAAGCAACCATCAATAGCAACTGTATCACAGGCAACGGGTGGTTATTGTTCCCAGCCTAGATTCAGTCCATCACATAACCCCATAAAACAATGGAGCAATGCTCCTTTTATACTTTTTTATGTGCATTAAACAAATTAGATAAAATGTGTTCATTAATGAGCTTCAGAGGTGCTGCTGGGTGTATTTTGTTAGCTTTCAACAACATTGTCTGTTTCCCACTGCTTTGAATCTTTATGCTAAGTTAAGCATCTAACTATTGATTCAAATACAGATTCGACTACTAGGTACATTTAAACTGAGCTTTCTCCCTAGTCACCTGCACGACCACACGTTCTGCATCAGTAGTGTTTGTGCAAGACGCACTAT